GAATATGAGCCCTTTCTTTGAATTGTTCTATCATTCCCATAGTGTTCAATTGTATAAATTGTATCAGGTCAGTGTCTGTTGTTGCACTGAAAACTGAAAAAAATAAGTGCTCTATTTTCCAAACCTTCATGTTAACTCCTTGAAAATATAAATCTTTGGAATTTCCTCCCTTCTGTTGTAGTAGCTGAAACCTTTAAAAATTGGGTTCAGAGGTCTTTCACCCTTTGCTGAACAAGACTATGTTTTCCTGACTTCAAGCATAGTACCTCGATCTTTTTTCCCTGTGCACTTTGACCAGGGCTTAGAAAATGATAAATGTCAAAGAGATTTAGGAAATGCTCCTACTGAGTAGAAAAGAATGAACTGCTGTTGTATCAGTTCTGTTGTCAGCGTTCCTGAATAGTACAGTCTGTGCAGAGGCCAAGAAAGGATTTCTGTTTTTTAAAGCTGCTTGTGTTAAGCCAGAGGCATAACTAGAGGTATAAACATTTCTCCAAAAAACCTGTTTGCCCTTTAATAAACCTACATTTAGATATAATATGCATCATGGGATATTGGATTTTGACTGTCAATAATATATATATATATATATATATATATATATATATATATATATATATATAGAATGAAAATGTTATTTGGGGGGGGGGTTCTCTTTAGTATTACTTCAGGAATGGTACAGCTGTAACAGGGCTCAGACATTAGTATAAACTGCTCCTTGTTTAATTTAGGTGCTGATTATGTTTTTTTTTTTCTTAGATCATAAAGTTTATTGCGCGTTTAAATAACAATGCATGCAAGGTCCAACCATCTGCTGAGAGCCTGCTGAGAGCCTGAGCCAGCCCCCTCCACAGTCCTGCACTCCAGTGAGCACCAGAGGGGCAGAGTAAAGAGCTGGTGACTGGAAGTCATGGCTGTTTGCTCAGCGCAGAGGGGAAAATTGATTGATCAGCAGTTTTTGATCGCTCAGTTCTCACTGCAGAGCCGACAGAGGACAAATGCAGCATCGGATTGATGCTGCATCCACCTAGCAGAATACAAATGTTTTTTATTTTTTTTCAGTCCATGTGGAAAACTTGAAAAAAAAATTAGAGGTACACCCAACTCCCCCAGAAAAGACTATGACCCTAAAACCCTATGTACATGCCTTTTGGTATATAAACACACATTGGGGGCACCTGTGAGTGCTTTGAATGTGTTGTCTATGTAAAATTTGGAGTACCAAAGTTCATCATTATTTCACGGAGCACATAATTTTAAGGCTTGACATATTGGGTGTCTACTAATGCAGCACAACATAATCTTTTATATTCTACTAACAATTTGTGTATGCTAAAATTAACGTTGGTATATTTTGTACTGAAAATGTGTGCTAATAATGCATGACAAATAAAATTGGGACTACCACTATTAAATTCTGCAGTGTCTTTGCTTTTCATAAAATGCATACCATTTGTACCTTATTGTGTTTCATCAGTGATTCAGTGTCCTGTTACTACTACATTTTTTCAGTCTGAGCCATAGAAGTTGGTCCATGGTCATCTGATATGAAGCATTGTGTAATGACATCTTTAAGATTTATAAAACATTTGAAGGTTGAAAACTGGACAATTTCCATGCTCTGCACATTTTCTGTATAAATTACATCTAAAGTGCATATTGCTTATAACTGTGTATTATTTATGAATATTCTGTTCGAAGATAAACATAAAGGAAAAAAAAAACATAGTTCTTAAATCTATCTGTTTTTCTATATTTTAGGGTTTCCAGTAAAAGGTATCATGGTTGTGATATATCCTATTATATACGATATGGTTCTTATTTTCTTTTATTTTATTTTTTTAACTCCATTTTATTAATCATTTTCCAAATAGTACAATGTTAAAATGCCTACAAAAAAAGAAAATAAATTATTGGTGTTGTTGTTTTAATTATTGCACTACAGTATGTGTTTTACTGTGAAATACATATTAAATGTCCCTCATCTCCTAAAGGATGGGCTTTTTCTATCAAAGTGCAAACATAATTTTTTGGTGGTGGATGTACAGTAATAGAACCTGCATTTCCATAGGTTCCCAGCAAGACTTTCAACCTTGAAGAGGCTTACATTCTTTCATTTTTAAATAGACTTGTTACTAATGAGTATTCTGGCCTTAGTTAATGAAGATTATTTTTATAAAGTACAACAATTATCCAGTTTTCAACATAGCATACATTTACAAAGCATATCCTGGCCATTTTTAATGAAAAGCTGTTATTCTTAAAGTGATACTAAACCCAGGACCCTGCATTCACTATATCTGGTCTCCCACTCTACTTAGAACATAGAAGTGCAATTATTTTTAGTAAATATAAATGTGCTAAACACCATTTCTCATCAGCAGTATATAGCAGTCCTGTGACTTCAGTTGAGCACTGGTTAAAGCGTGTAAGATGAGTTTTCTTTCTGTTCTAGGAGGATGCAGAACCCCTGACCTCTGTCTGGACAGTGCTGAATTGCCCTGTGCCAATCACATGCACTCTTCCTAAACTGAACATGTGTAGATGGGCTACAGGTTCAGTCTGTCTTATCAGCGTGGACATTTGAACAAGAGGAGGAGCAAAGGAGTCACGATCAAACAGCCTTTTTTACACAATGCAAAGGATTAACCCCTTAGGTTCCACAGTGAGTATAACAAGCATGCTTTACTGCATATACAGGCTGATTTTACTGTTGTGGGTTTAGGAACACATTAAAGGTAAATTTTTTTCCTAAAATAACAAACATGTCATAGTTATCTGCTCTGTGAAAGAGCAGCCCCGTTATTTCCTCTCCTGTGGCCCCACCCCCCTCCTCACCGAGTGCCCCCAGAGAAAATCCACTTGCTCTTAGGGCACTCATGTGTGCTTGCTCCCAAGCCCTGCTCTGTGTGTCCATAAGATGCACAGATCGGGGAACAGCCCTGCCCTCCCTCCTCATCACTGGCTCTCATTAACAGCAGTGGGAGTCAATTGCTCTGGCTGTTGTATCTGAGCCAATGAGCAGCTAGAGAGCCTAGACAACCTGTGATCTCATGCACATCCTTGGATCGAGATTGGGCTCAGGTATGTATTTAGGGGGGCTGTGGAAGCTACATACAAATAATTTTTTTACTTTGCTTGATAGAATACTGTAAGGTGAAAAAAACCTTCTGCCTTTTACAACCACTTTAAGTGTAATAAGCATATCAAACAGTCAGAAAACTGTGTGAATCTGCGTGAATCCTGATGGACTGGTGTGTATTACTGCTCTTAAGAATTATCCGTATTTATTTCGTTAGACCTTTTTTTGCTTGGTAACATCTGGTGCTCTTTATTATACCAAGCACAAAAACTTCCTGTGGCAAACAATTTACCCCACAATAAAAATATTCCAGATCAAATTGCAGTTGTCGATATGTGCATTCTTTTTGCAATGGCTACATTTCAACACAACTCAATTTACCCTAGAGAAACAAATCATCATTTTAGTTATTGCTTGCTAAGGACAACTGAGATATGTTCTGTACTTTTTTTTTTTCCTTTTGATATTGCTTTTTGCACACAGAATTGGTAAACTTCCAAGCGGCAAAATAAAAACTTCCTTTGCGAGGTAAAAACTTCTGCTTTTAAAGGAAAGAAATGTTACCTCACCCCAAACAAACCCACTTCAGCTAACGCAGCATATAATTTTACTAGGAAAAAGCGTTTGGCAAACACAGCATAACAGATGGAAGCATACTTTCTAAGATATTGATATTTTCATTTTCTATGCTGACAGCTATGATATGGTGAATTTGTTATTTGTCATGCTGAAGTGGAAAAAGAGATACGTATATCCCGCTCCAATCTGTTTATGCTTATCGGTTGTGTAGAGGCCAATAATAATGGACGGGGGGCTGTATCCAGGCAACAAGGCTGGACATCCAACTGTTAATAGCGCCAAGCGATCTAGTTTTCAATTTGTCCAGCTAAGTGGTGACACTAGAGGAATTATATGCCTCACACAGTGTTAAATGCACTATTGCATCAGTCCAGCGAATAAAGAATTCACCATAGCAGTCATTACAGATTAGTCAATTTCCCTGACAACAACTTTACAATATGTCCTGGCTAATACAGCGTATGTCTGGCCATTTTCTTTTTTATTTTACAATTACTAATCATGACTGACCTTAACTTTTAGTAATATAAAACATGGGTATAGCTAAGGAGGCATTTTAACTGGATTAAATGGATATCCTACATAGCATGGCAGGTCAGAGAAATTACCAGTACCATACTTTAAACAAGAGCTGATCTTTACATTGATACATGTTCTATACATTTACTAAACTGACACTGCATTTTAATTGGTTTCACAGCTGACAACAATCTGCTGCTCAAAAAGTTATTGTCAAGTTTAAGCTGAGGAGAGACTGCTTGTGAGCCCAGGTTCATACTGGTGGAGCTTTGAAATCCCACTAATTCATACCAGTACCATTTGCACTGCCAATTTAATTGCGTCTTGTGACTGCATATAACAAAATAAATTCTGAAGGACCCTCTGCACATCGGTATATACCCTTTCCAGCAGACTTTGCAACAAAAAATAGGGATATTTAGTTCACACATATTGCAATACATGTTTAACCACCTCCCGCCCGCCATATAGTCCAATGACGGGCGCAAGGTGGTTCTCTCGTTCTGAGAAGACGTCATATGACGTCGTTCCATTCTCACCGCGCATGCACGGCTCAGGGAGCGTGCAGTGCGGCGATCGGCGGTACGCTGTGTCCCTCGGACACAGCTTCATCACCGATCACGGAAAGAGATGAAGATGTCGGCTCGGTCATGTGATCAGCTGTGTCCAATCACAGCTGATCACATGTAAACACGGAAATGCCGGTTATCGGCATTTCTCTCCTCTCGAGCTGTCACGCTGACAGCTCAAGAGGAGAGGAGAGCCGGTAATTGGCTTTCCGTGGAGGGGACATGTACACTGATCATCAGGGCACTGATGATCAGTGTGCCCTAATGATCAGTGTAGCCCCAGCAGTGCCACCTGTCAAAGTCCATCAGTGCCAGCTGTCAGTGCCACGTGCCAGTGCCTATCAGTGCCACATCAATGCCACATATCAGTGCATACCAGTGCACATCAATGCCACATATCAGTGCCCATCTGAGCTGCCTTTCAGTGTAACCCGTCAGTGCCACCAATCAGTGCCACCTATCAGTGCTGCCAATCAGTGCCAGTCAGTGCCGCCTGTCAGTGCCGCCTATCAGTGTGCATCAGTGCCACCTATCAGTGCCAGTCAGTGCCGCCTAACAGTGCCAGTCAGTGCTGCCTATCAGTGCCATATACAATAATCAATAAAAATGCAGCGCTTGATATTGTAGATAAAAATGACATAAATAAAAGAATGAGTAAATGTCTTAAAGAGTGCAACGTGGCAATCGTGGTTCCTTAGATGGCTGTTAAATTATCGTGACTTCCGTGGTTCGTGAGAAGTGAGTATACAATGTACTAACCAGATAGCACATGGTTATGTGCGTTGGAGTAAAATAAGACCTACTCCAAAGGTACTCTGGGAACCGGAACTCTGCAAACAGGTGAAGACGTCAGGTGGGGTTGAGTCACCAGATGTCATCAGACCAGCGCAGATTTCCTCATTCCAGTATAATGTGTGATCATCACATTGGATACATCATGCAGTATGGATTTCAGCCACCGGGGGGATCATGTACTTTAGTGTAAGTCTCCTACCATGGGGCACCTTAAGGAAGGGGGGGGGGCTCATGATTTCCAAAAAATGAGCCTTGTAAATCAGAGAAGGGGCAGAAGGGGACAAAAATGACTCCTATAACTTTGGTTATAAGCTGACACGGTAGATGAAGGTGAAAACCTCTGTACAAGAAGAGACCTTAGAATGCAGCAGTCAGTGAAGAAGAAGTTACACAGCACAGAAAGTCCACTTGTTATGCTTTCCAATGGATCTTGTGAATCAGGACTTCGCTGCCTCTTCCTCCACACAAGCCAAGCCTCGCTCTGACAGCAAGCACCAAGCCTCGTTCTCAGATGCCAAGCCTCGTATATCATATATCAGTGCCATGTATCAGTGCTGCCTTTCAGTGCCCATCAGTGATGCCTGTCAATGCCCATCAGTGCCACCTACCAGTGCCTCCTCATCAGTGCCCATCAGTGCCATCTATCAGTGCCCATCACTGCAGCCTCATTAGTGCACATCAGTGAAGGAGAATAATCACTTATTTACAAAATTTTATAACAAAAACTAAGAAAAAAGGTTTTTTTTTTCTAAATTTTCAGTGGTGTTTGGTTTGTTTAAGAAAAAATAAAAAAACCCAGAGGTGATTAAATACCACCAAAATAAAGCTCTATCTGTCAGAAAAAAAATTATAGAAACTTCATATGGGTACAGTGTTGCATGTCCGCGCAATTGTTATTCAAAGTGCGACAGCGCTGAAAGCTGGAAATTGGCCTGGGCAGGAAGGGGGTATAAGTGCCCAGTAGGCTAGTGTTAACCACTTGGCAACCGCGCTATAGCCGAATGGGAGAACGTCATATTACCAGCGGCGTGCACCCGGCAATCTCCGTGATCACTGTGTCCTACAGACACAGCCGATCACGTGATGTGGTAAAAGGCCAATCACAGCGGCCTTTTACCGCGTGATCAGCTGTGTTCGATGACACACTGGGTAAATACAGTTGCCGGTTTTCGGCTGCACTTTCCCCACGCTGTAACAGTGTGAGGAAAGTACTGCCGATAACCTGCAAATGTCAGAGAACACATTGGCACTCATCATCAAGACACTGATGATCAGTGCTCTAATGAGCAGTGTCAGCCATCAGTGCCCAGCAGTGCCACCCACCAGTGCCCAGCATTGCCACCCACCTATGCCCAACAGTGCCATCCACCCTTGCCCAGCAGTGCCACCCATCAGTTCTAGCCATTAGTGCCACCTATTAGTGCCACCAGTCAGTGCCGCCCATCAGTCCCGCCTATCAGTGCCCATCAGTGCTGCCTATCAGTGCCCATCACTGCTGCACATTAGTGCAGCATCATCAGTGCCGCCTATCCATGCGACCTCATCAGTGCCCATTATTGCTGCCTATCAGTGCAACCTCATCAATGCACATCAGCAAAGGAGAAAAATGACCTGTTTGCAACATTTTATAATAGAAACAAAGAAAAACTTTTTTTTTCAAATTTTTTGCTTTTTTTGTTTGTAGTGCAAAAAATAAAACACCCAGCGGCGATTAAATACCACCAAAAGAAAAGTTCTATTTGTGAGAAAAAATGTATAAAAATTTCATATGGGTACAATATTTCATGACCGCGCAATTGTCATTCAAAATGCAACAGCGCTGAAAGCTGAAAATTGGCCTGGGCAGGAAGGGGGTATAAGTGCCCGGTAGGCAAGTGGCTAAGCTGGCCAACTGCATCAAAGTAATCCCTCTATGGCCAGTCTTACTCTGCTCTGCCTACGCAAACGCTACTGTGGACACAACGCCAATATAGGGGAAAAGACAAAGTAAGGGGGAGCTATTAGATTTAGGTCTGGCTATTGACCCACAACACAACAAACAAGATATACCTGTGCTCAAATCCCAATAGCTAGTACATGCATTTATCTTTCAGGTGCTAAACAAAAGTCTATGCAATTTTAAATGAAATCGGCAAAAAGTAGTGAAGGATACTTTTTCATAATTGCTGTGACATTAATCACGACAATATGAATGATTCCACTGTCGGTAAGTTGCAATGAAATTGGCAAAAAGTAGTGGAGGAACCATTTTCAAAATGGCTGAGACATTAGTCACGGCAACATGATGATTCCATTGTCAGCAATGAGGTGAGACTTGTCATGCAATTTGGAAGTGTCAAATAGCATGACAAGTCACACCGGTGTGAACCAGGGTTTATATTCCTAAATCTTAAATGGAGTTAGGAAGTCAGCTGTGTAATTGGAAAATTGTAATTATTCATGTACACGTATGAATGTTTTCTTATATGAACCATGCACCAAGTTATGATTTGGGTATAGTGACCGCTGGTTGAACATTTCCAGCTTGATAAATCATGCAATATATTATAAGCAGTATATCTGCCTAGAATATTGAATTGTTCAGACATGTTATTTTAACATATACTGTATACTTTTTAGTGTTCTACAGGTGTTTTCTGTTATTTTTTTATTGATTTTGTATGCAGCTATAATAAATGTACTTTAACCCAAAATCATGTATATATACAGTACATGCATTTCAGGGTAGGGGGCGCACGCGCCATTGACGGCTACAGATGTCGTTCACCGGGTCCCAGCCGGAGGCGTTCATCAAATATCACTGACAGATGAGAGACCTGTGTGTAAACAACGCAGGTCTCTCTCCTGCCAGCAGTAACATGATGCTGCGTATTTCTCTACACAGCAGAGAAATACAGAACAGTATGTTTCCTCAGTAAAAACACACACACAGCTCATTATGCAAAACAGCACACAGTTAACCCTTTGATCACCCCAGATGTTAACCCCTTCCTGCCAAGTGTCTTTTTATTAGCACTGATCACAGTATTAGTGTCATTGGGATGTCAGTGGCAGTTAGTCAGTTCCCTCCAGTGTCAAAATGCCTGCTGCAGTCCCTAGTATAAAAAAAAAATAAAATTCCAGTATATATACCACCATTTGACGCTATAACTTTCACGTAAACCAATTAATTTGCATGTATTGGGGATTTTTTTTTAGCATGTAGCAGAATACATTTTGGCCTAAATTTATGATGGCATTTGTTTTTCAAATTTTTTCCTGGATATGTTTTATAGCAAAAAGTCAAAAATATTGTTTGTTTTTTTTAATTATAGGTCTCTTTTTGTTTATAGTGCAAAAAATAAAAAATATAGAGGTGATCAAATACCACTGAAAGAAAGCTCTATTTGTGGGAAAAAAAGGACATACATTTCATTTGGGTGCAGCATTGCATGACCACGCAATTGTCAGTTAAAGTAACGCAGCGCCATATTGCAAAAAATGGCCTGGTCAGGATGGGGAGTAAATCCTCTGGAGGGTAAGTGGTTAAAAATGTCAGAAAAAGTGGATCTGTCAATAGTAGTGTTTTAGAAAACCAGAATGCTTTTAGAGAAAAGACAGCAGATACACTTTTGTGAAGTACCATCTCTGTGAAAGCATTTAATGTATTTCTCTTTCTACAAAGTCAGTAGAAGAGCATAATGCATGTAATACTAGCTAATATGAGTGGTTGGAAGTGGTTGGGGACAATTAACAGTATCTTATGTCTGATTTTATGGTTTCTGTTACATCTGAAGGGTTGGATACCCCATGCCCCTTCCCTCTTGGCCTTCCTACCATTTTTTATGAGTGTTACAGGCTATGGTACTCACTGGCAAAATCTGGCAGGCTTTCTTGGCAGCTGCTGGCCTCTGTTCCCTACCACCAGCCTACCTGCCACCTGTCAGTCCTATAGCACAACATTTAAGTAAGTGCTCTGGAATTCCTCCTCAGCTTATGCTACAGGTCTAACAAATGGAGGGTAGGGATAGAAGCTGCCAGCTGCACAACTGACTGGGGTGACATCAATGGGGACGTTCGACATGGACAGATGCCTCCAAACGGGGACTGCCCCCGGCAAACGGGGATGGACAGCAACCATAATTAAGTAGGTGGTATGGTAGGAGAGCACAGAGCTTCATGTGATAGCATTCCACAATAAATCAACTCATCTTGTGCAAAAAAAATAAAACCAAACAAATAAACATCAAATACATTATTACATGCAAATACAAAATTGTGCAGAAAATGTATAAATAATGTGTCCTGTGCAAACAATAAGGATTCTCCGTGTCATTTATTTTTAAACATTCTCCAAAGTGCCACATTTTGCTCAAAGATTAAGATATTGTATATTTCTGCTTAAAAAAAACAGTTCTCCATACACAAATGCAGTTCCACTTCGATTCACCAATCTGTAAAATGTTCCAAATAATGTGCCAAGTTTGTTTAGACTGTTTTGTAGTGTCCTTATTCTTTAGTTGCACACAAATGCTTTCATACAACAACAGAGGCCAGCTTCTGGAATATTTCCAAATATAGCATTAGCGCATTGTTGTCAAATGTATTACTCTTTCTTGTAAAAAAGCCAGTACAGTTTTGTGATTTGGTTCACTAATACATTCATAAGCAGTGACATTTCACCATTGATTAATCGTAGTCAGATGTCTGCAATTGTAGACCTTGCTGATTTGACTAAGCTGATGGTATAAACAATGGTCTTCTATAAAATGTCTATTAGAAATACTTTTCATATTTGTATACTTGTTTTCACATCCTATTAATTAATAACAGTATGTCTGAATTCTTAAAATGATTTGCATAAATCACAGAATAATGTTAGGCTTGGTGAGATTTTAACACCTTTATAACAGTATACTAAAATGTAGGTGCTAATAATTAAGATGACCATAAACTGCAGAGAGGTATGAAGGTGTTGGTACTTACGCATGCTATAACCACTTAAAGTGTTACTAAACCCACAACAGTAAAATCTGTATATGCAGTAAAGCATAGTTGATATACTCACTGTGGAAGGGCTTAATCCTCTGCATTGTGTAAAAATGCTGTTTGATCCTGACTTCTGTGATCCTCCCCTTCTTCTAGTGTCCCTCTCTTATTTCCTGATAAGACATATCGTGTGGAGACATTCTGCACATGCTCAGTTTGGTGTCTATTGCTAGAGAGGTTTTTTTTTTTTCTTGGGAGGGTGCATATGATCAGCACAGGGCCAATCAGCATTGTCCATACATAGGTCAGGGGTTCTGCATCCTCCTAGAGCAGAAAGAAAACTCCTTCTACAAGCTTTAACCAGTGTTCTGCTGGACACTGATTGAAGTCACAAGACTTCTCTAACTTCTGATGAGAAAATGTATTTAGCAGTATATTTAATAAAATAATTGCATTTCCATGTAGTGTGTACTATAGGAGACCAGAGGGAGAGAGAGAATGCAGGGTCCTGGGTTTAGTAACACTTTAAGCTCTGGAAGAATTTACCCTCTTCATGACGAGGCCATTTTTTGCTATTTAGCACTGCGCTACTTTAACTGGCAATTGCACCCAAATAAAATGTATTTCATTTTTTCCCCACAAATAAAGCTTTCTTTTGGTGGTATTTAATCACCACTGGGTTTTTTATTTTTTATTATATAAATGAAAAAAAGACTGTACATTGTGAAAAAAAATAAACTACCGTATATTTTTTACTGTCTGCTATAAAACATATTCAATAAAACCAAAAATTCTAATTTCTTCTTAAATTTAGGCTTAAATGTATTCTCTTTGGTAAAACAGAAATTTCAAAAAGTGTATATTAATTGGTTTGTGTGAAAGTTATAGCATTTATAAACTATGGGATATTGTAACAGTAGTGGTGTGAACCTCCTGCGCTCCCAAGTGTTTCAACTGTATAAAAAACACCAGGAGAAGCTGCTAACATTAAATCATATACCAGTGATTGTGATAAATAAATACAATAAAGAATGTAGCGCTACTCCTTAAGGTACATACACACATAAATAAATAAATTAATAAGTGATGTGTGATCTCAAAATTACATCAAATTAAATAAAAATAAAAATACATGTGATAGTGGTCAATTAATATTAATTAGTGCTCATGATTCATTAAATCTACAAAATCAAATAATTCAAAACATGTGAAAAAAACATTTACATACATATATATATATATATATATATATATATATATATAATTCTGTGAATATAAAATCACACGTGCCTCTCGTGTAGTGAAATAACCACAATATAACAATACATAAAAACAGTGCTCTCAAAGTCCAATAAATGCTGATAGTGACCACAAGAAAACACTCGTGCTTCCAATGACTACTGTTGGTGACCAAAAATTAACAGAAACTCGTGTAGATCTTTGGGTGCATGTGAATATGACAATCCGACCACCATCTGGATAAGCCTCTCACCTCATCACTTCGACCCTTGCGGGTCAAAGCGCTTTTGTGGATCCCCCTCACGGATCCTCCAAGATAGCTATCACTCCAAATGTTGCTCCTTGTCGCACCCAAATCTCTCAGAAATTAATATTCCACCAATGGCTCCTCTCCAGGTAAGTTGCAGCATCAATCTCTCAAATGAGACATAAAATAGATCCTCCCATAGTGCAGCATATTTTATTTAGAAGTAGGGACAGATAACAAAAAAGCTTTCTCACTCACGTGGCAGCCAATTCAAAACCTCATGCTTTCGGATGAGGGCATGTATGTATGGGTGTACAGCTGGGTGTACAGGTGTACCAAGATGGCCGCCGCGCCGGAAATACGTCACCACGTCAAGCCAACGCGTTGCGTCACAATGTCATGTGACTTCCTCAGGGCTATGAGGAAGTCACATGACATTGTGACGCAACTCGTCGGCTTGACGTGGTGACGTATTTCCGGCGTGGTGGCCATCTTGGTACACCTGTACACCCAGCTGTACACCCATACATACATGTACCAAATTAAAAAAGAAAAAAGCGCCACTTACAAAAAACACCAAAGTGTCAGCAGCATATCCCACCCAAAATAAATTTTGGCAACAATAATCCAAATTAAAAGGTATGCGCTAATGTTTTTTTTCACATGTAAATGTTTTTTTTCACATGTTTTGAGTTATTTGATTTTGTAGATTTAATGAATCATGAGCACTAATTAATATTAATTGACATCACTGTTACATGTATTTTTATTTAATTTGATGTAATTTTGAGATCACACATCACTTATTAATTTATTTATTTATGTGTGTATGTACCTTAAGGAGTAGCGCTACATTCTTTATTGTATTTAAACTATGAGATATATTACTGAAATTTTTATTTATTTAATTTTTTTACAGTGACTTTTAGTGGGACTATGAAAGCGCGATGTACAATCTGACACTTTGTGGGAACTGACTAAATGACACAGACATGTCCAGTGCCACTAATACAGTGATCGGTGCTACACATTTACACTGGCACTGTACTAATGACACTGGCTGGGAAGAGGTTAACATCTAGGGGCAATCAAGGGGTTTAACTGTGTACCTAGTAAGTGTTTATAAGTTTGCTGTGTGCTGTTTTGTACTAAAAATTGATTTATTTCTTTTCTCTGCTTAGCAGGAAAAAGAAACAAAGCGATCCTCCCCCTGTATAGAGTTCTGTGTTGTTTACCAACACAGAGCTCTAGCATGTGATTTCACACAGCTTATCAGCAGTTCCTGGCCATGAATCATTGGCCAGGGTCTGTTGGAGAACTCCTGCTGTGTTAAATCACAGGGGAGAAGGCAAACCCAGAAACAGACAGCATTGTGCTTGTCACATACCTGGTGGTGGAGCCTTACACAGAGATGGAGGTGTCCCCTTATACTTTCCGCTTGGTGCCTCTGGTAGAGCAGACAGGAGGCATGAAAGTCAGGAATGGCATGAGTGCCTAGCAGGTCTGCGATGTCAGCTGGCAGACGAGTAGTCTGTATAATCAGGATGCAGGTTGGCTGAGGATGCAGGGCAGCCAGAGCAGTGGCTGGCAGATACTAGCAGCAGAGCAACAGGAACTCAGCGACGGCAGAAGACTGTGGATGATGGCCACAGACTGGACGGATAGCAGGGCCAAGCAAGCCGGGTCAGGATCTAGTGGGTGAATCAAAAACAGACAGCAGGCAGGCGAATAGTCGGGGTTCAGGCCAAAGAGTCAGCAATGGTCAGGCAGATAGCAAGGGAGCAGGCAAGATGTAATCCACAGGCAAGCCAAGGTCAGCACAGGTGGAGTTCATTCGAGGTCAAGACAGCTCAGGTAAGCAAAAGGATCAGGATACAGCAAATAGCAGATAACAGGACGTAGCAGACCAAAAGGGCAAAGACTCATAGTTCCGTGTGGTTTAAATAGCCCGCCTGGCACCAATCTGGTGGTGAGCAGGGGCGGACTGACCATTAGAGCACTCGGGCACTGCCCAAGGGCCCGGGTCAGTAGGGGGCCCCATGAGATGCCCCTGGTACCTTTCATTGGCTTTTTCATAGGCTTTTTTGGGTGTGGGCGAGGACACAGGGGCCCCATGATCCCCTATTGCCCGGGGGCCCCATGAGTTGTCAGTCCGCCCCTGGTGGTGAGCATGCATGCCGGCGCGCACCCGCGTGTGCATGCGCAGGTGCATGGAGACAAGCACGGCTGCTGGGCAATAGGCATTGGAGCATTAATGTGCGCCTGGGCATTCCTTGTCTTCCTTGACAGTACCAGTACGTTGTTGTGCCTGTAGCTGCCACTCCACTGCAGTAAAATTACTTTTGGCAGGTGGGCAGGTAGTTAATGATGCAGGGGGGCAACTCACTAAAGGTAGTCCTGACATCACAAAGAAGGCACATGATACCTGAATGTTCACTTGTTCCCAAACTATAAACATTAAAACTAGAGATGAGCGAATTTTTCAAAAATTCGATTCGGCTGATTCGGCGAATTCCAGGAAGAAATTTGATTCGATGCGAATTAATTCGCTACGAAGTTAACTTATAAAAAGGGTTTCTAGGCTTCAGAGAGCCTTTAAATTAGTGCAGAACACTGTACCTTTAATTTAAATGCCCTTGGAGATGAGGAAGGAGAAGGAGAAGGATGAGAAGAAGGAGAAGGAGAAGGATGAGAAGAAGGAGAAGGATGAGAAGAAGGAGAAGGAGAAGGATGAGAAGAAGGAGAAGGATGAGAAGAAGGAGAAGGAGAAGGAGAAGGAGGAGAAGGAGAAGGAGAAGGATGAGAAGAAGGAGAAGGATGAGAAGGATGAGAAGAAGGATGAGAAGAAGGATGAGAAGAAGGAGAAGGATGAGAAGGAGGACAGTTCTGTGACAGTTTCTGTCTATTTCTGACAGTTCTGTGACATTCACTCCATACAGCGGTTTCAACCACTGTATGGAGGGAATGTCCCAGAACTGTCAGAAATAGTCTATTTCTGACAGTTCTGGGACATGTATGGAGTGAATGTCCCAGAACTGTCAGAAATAGTCTATTTCTGACAGTTCTGGGACATTCACTCCATACAGCGGTTTCAACCGCTGTATGGAGGGAATGTCACAGAACTGTCATAAATAGTCTATTTCTGACAGTTCTGGGACATTTACTCCATACAGCGGTTGAAACATTGTATCTATTTGTTTCCATAAATGGATCCATTTCTGGAAACAAATAGATACAATGTTTCAACCGCTGTATGGAGGGAATGTCCCAGAACTGTCAGAAATAGTCTATTTCTGACAGTTCTGGGACATTCACTCCATACAGCGGTTTCAACCGCTGTATGGAGGGAATGTCCCAGAACTGTCATAAATAGTCTATTTCTGACAGTTCTGGGACATTCCCTCCATAAGCGGTTGAAACATTGTATCTATTTGTTTCCATAAATGGATCCATTTCTGGAAAAAATAGATACAATGTTTCAACCGCTGTATGGAGGGAATGTCCCAGAACTGTCAGAAATAGTCTATTTCTGACAGTTCTGGGACATTCACTCCATACAGCGGTTGAAACATTGTATCTATTTGTTTCCATAAATGACATTCTGCAGATACACTTAGAGGAGCTCTGCAGATACACTTTTTGCCGGCTTGGAATTATTCTTATTTTCATCCTACTTCTTCTTCTTCTTCTTCTTCTTCTTCTCATCCTCATCCTCATCCTCTTCTTCTTCTTCTGAGGATGAGGATGAGGATGAAGAAGAAGAAGAAGAAGAAGTAGGATGAAAATAAGATTACTTCCAAGCCAGCAAAAAGTGTATCTGCAGAGCTCCTCTAAGTGTATCAGTAGA